CACTTTTAGCACATTATGTTCTTGGACTTGATATTGCATGTAAAGGCACATATTAACTCATTGATTACCTAACATTTTAAATAATTATAAGTTAAATTATAAAATTGTTTGTATACAAAAGATAACTTATATTAGTTTGTAATCTAAATAAGATCGTAATTCATAGACTTATTATGAGTAAATAATTCATGTTAGGAATATTATATCATTTAAAGACCTTATGAGATAATTTGTCTTTGCTATAAGAATGTATTGACTCTAAAATAGAGACATGAATGTGTTAGTTTGAAGTGAAAACACATTAGACATGATTCAATATGGATTGATATTGCGTATCGTAATAACTTTTAATTAAAAAGTTTGAGTTGACGGAAAAATCAATGCAAACGGGTAAAAATAAAAAAATTTGTGAAAGCGATGGTTTCAAACCAACTGCAAATGATGATATTTCTAGTTTTTCATTTTCGACTTTGCATTTAGAAGCTAAATATATTTACCCTTACTAATACATGGACTCCATTTATTTAAAGTATAAAAAAATTTAAAATTCAATCTTTTATTAATTATGTATTTATGTTTTATTTCAATAATTTAATACTAACATCTTTAAACAAATAATTTATCGCTTGATAATTTATTTTAATTACTTAATAGTAAATACAATTTATGATTTATATATTAAAATATTAATAGTAAGTTATTATAAAAATATATTTTTATTATAATTATATTTTTATTTATACTTTTTTTATTTTTATTATAGTTTAAACTGATATATTTTTTATATAATCATAATTTCTTTTAAATTTATTTATAATATCATGAACCAATTTACCTCAGTGGTTAAAAGAATTATTGTTGTTCTTAGAGGTCATGGGTTAGAGCACCAGCGACTACAGCAGGGTGATTGAACATTCATTGTAAAATGGTAGAGAATATTTAGAACATATACTACTTTGTAATCACCTTAGCTTAATAATAAAAATATTTATAATATATAACTTTTCATTTTTTAAATGATAAATATATCATTTAAATTATTTTATTTTAAATTTTAAATGGGTGATCGTTGTTAAATTAGAATCATTAAAATATTTTTTTAAATTCAAAAGTTAAAAATTATTTGATAATATTATTTTTCTTAATAAAATATTTTATATATAAAAATATTATTAATAAGTTATTTTAAAATACTTTTATATTTTCATTATAGTTTAAGTATATATATATTATATATCATAGTAATAATATATGTAAATATAATTCAAATGTTATATTTTTAATTTACAACATAATATCTAAAATAGACATTTTATATTTTCAAAATCATTTTTTAACAACAATCCGAAAAATTAAATTTTAAAATACTCTTTTGAAAGACACTTTTAAAAGTTTTTTTACCACACTTTTAAAAGTTATTTTTCAAAAATAATATCAAACTGACCGCTTGCGTCCTATAAAATATATTTACACTTATCTTCAAGTAAATGTAGATATGTGTAAATGTGATTTGCATGCTTTGAAATATAAAAAATTGATGTCTTAAGATAATAAGTTAAAGGTTGATATTTGGCTATGTATCTAATACATGATATAGGTGCAACTACATCTATTAAACACCCTGCCATGTATAAATGTTCGATCGAATAGATGATGCCACATTATGATAGCAAATAAAATTAGGTGCATATATGCAAATAAAACCAACAATTCAAAATCAAACTAAAAAAAATTGTCTCATTCTAGAAATTGGTATCAATACTTTACAAAAGTGTGTCAATATCTTGATTTGGGTATGATACAAACTACACGTATCGGTACAGGTTTGAGTTTTGAAGTTTTTGAAAAAAATATATGGTAACTTTATTATATTTGTTCCGTTTAGTACTTAAATTTTATTTTTTTTTCAAAATTATACTTAAACATTTAGTTTAAGTTTTATTTTGATATCATGTCGTTAAAATCTTAACAGTATGATGATGTGTCACCATAAGATAATGACATGTCATCATTAGAAAATATATCATATCAACAATTGTGTTAATATATTAACGCCTGAGTACCAAGCTAAAACCTAAACTAAATTTTAAGTATCATTTAAAGAAAATAAAATTTAGATATCAAAACAAAATAAAAGTAATAATTTAGGTATTAAATGTATAATTTATCTAAAATAATAAGTACCATGTGACTTAAAAATGCGTATCAACACCTCTCTAAAGGGTATCGGTGCCATGTAGAGCACTTATAAGAATGGCTACATTAAAATAATTCAATTGCAACGCCTTGAATCTTTCAACGAGCACAAAGTGGTGTTATTGTATAGTGTCGAAGATTTTAATCAGATACAAACCTCAAATTTTAAGATAATACTTGTATGGAATGAAGAATGAGAAGACTTAAGGCTCAATTACATCAAATTGAGGCATGGAGGACTAACTGGAGAAGCTGAGCAATTTGTGGGATAAAACTGCAAACAAGTGATGAGTATTGATACCTATATAACTCTAAGGATATCGATAATGAACTAAAGTATTAATACATAAGAGTAGGTACCATTTATTTATTAGGATAAGGATGAATATTGATGATTAGACTCAGCTCAGAGGTGTATACTGTAAACCCTATATTTGACTTAAGTTTACTGATGACTTAAAACATGTTAGTATATATATATATAACCCTAGGTTCCTATCTTCGCGTGGTTTGAATTTTTTTATCTTTTATTCAATCGATATTGACATCATTTTTTATGTTGGTTGTCGATTAGTATTCTTTAATTTTCTATTATATCTTTCCTTCTTCTTTGTTTTTTTAATTTTTAATAACTATATTCTTATGACATATTTTTCCCTATCTTTATGATATATTTTTATGTCTTTTGCCACATTCTTAGTCTTTTTTTATTGATACGGCCGTTCTTTTTGTTTTATCTTTTTCTTAGGGTTAGATTTGACGACGCCTTGACTGATCAAGATGACGCTTATTTGTTATCATGTTGATTTTCTCTACTTTGGATCCTCATATTGGATTTGGATATGCGGTTGTATTTGTTGATAGTTTTCTCATGCCGCTCGACTCTGATACACGGTTTGTCAATTTTCTTTCAGTAATTTTGATCTATTTATGTGGTTCGTCGTCTGATGTAGTCAAATCTATTAGTGTATATCTTTGTTCGAATTTTTTGGTTGGTTTTTTATCTTTTCCTTATGTGGTCATTGTATAATCTCAAGTGGTTAGTTTCTTATGCCAATAGTTATAAGAAAATATATTAATTATATTTTTAATTTTTAATTATGATTCTAAATATTTTATTATAATTCTATATATTTTTCTCATAATAAAATTAAATTAGTTGCTTCTATTGAGGTAAAAAGAAATATTGTTTTCTTACGAATTAAAAGATATTTATTTATGGATTATGAATTTTAATTAAATCTTAACCATTTATTTATTAAATTTTGATAACTTTAAATTAGTGTTAAATTTATTAGTTTCAGATGGAGTCAGCGTTCTACCCATATATATATATAATTTGAAGTATGGATGGCTTAAAACAGACATGACTATCTCAAAATTATAATGATTTAGGCACTTAGGGAGGGGGCACACAAACCTTTTATAAGATTCTTAAAGAAAATATTAAAGGAATAGCCCTTGAACAGTCAAAGGTTTCATAAAAATTACTCAAAACTTATAACAATTATGATTTAACCTCATGAACCTTACATTTTTCAATTTAATCCAAATTTTAGAATTAGTCTATTAAAAATCCGATTAAAACTTAGAAATTTTTACCTTTATTTTATGGTGTTACAACTCTCTCGCCCATAAAGAAAATTATCTTAGAATTTTTCTCTCTCTGATAGTCTCTTAATATTTTGTTCTCATAGTTTTGTAAGCTTCAAATTCGATTCCGATATTTGTTAACACATTCATCCCAAGACCTATAAATATTAACATACAAATTTTAAATTTATATCTACCAAACTCGGAGCTAAAAACGTACGCCTATGAGATTTTAACAACAAAGTTAATATTAAGGAAATACGACATACTTAAAGAATCAGAAAAAAAATATTGATTTTAAGATCGAATTCTCTTATGAAAATTTCATTGAATTTAAAAATTATATTTGGGGACCTAAGCTTGATTTAAAAGGCATGATCTAATCCTTGGAATGATAAATTAATGGAATTTGGAAAACTTACCTTGACCCTGGAAAATGATGTTATTTGGATAGAAAACAAGAGAGAAAATGAGAGACAAGTTGAACGAAATTTGAGAATTCGTACAAGATATGGAAAGTGTGGAAACAAGTTGGTTATGACTGATTTTATTAAAAGTATAAAATATATATTTTACATATTATTAATTGTTAAAAATAAGGTTTAAAATAAAAAAAATAACTAACTTTCAGTTAAATGGTAAATCACATTCAAGAGTTTACAAGTTTTTTCCTCTTTTAATTTAGTACTTAATAATTATTGTCCATGTGCTTTTGCCCTTGTCGTCAATCAGTGGAATTGTATAACAAGAAATAAATTTACCTAAGCCACTTTGGCCAATCTTTATTTGGCTTCCATTACCATTACTTTGTACCCTTTTCCCACCACCTTCAATAATTCAATGATCCAAAAACGATATAGCGCTGAAATTCATAAACAACGTACAGTGAACCAAAACAATCGTACAACTAAAAGATGGAGCTAAAGAATCTAAAACCAAAACCTGGTATGATTTTGCCGTTTGTGGGAAAGGATTTTGAATGGAGAGGCCTTGCATTTAGTATTCAAAGCCAATTCATATGTTGACACATGGTCAAAGAAAGATCATGAAAAAAGGAAATGCCAAATAAAGAAACAAAACAGACCAATTTCTTATTTTCTTGCAAACATTAACATGAGGAAAATGTTTGGTTTTTGATTGACATGTCTTGTCATCTGTCTCCCCTGCCATTTTCGAGGGACGCTAAAAATACCCATTGAGAGAAAAATTAGTTATCCTTATATTATTCTCCATCCCATTTTGCAGAGGTATATTCTTTCTATAGTTTTAGTTTTACTGTTCCTCATTTTTTTTTTATCTTTGAATGCTTTGGGTGGCCAAATTTAAATATTATACTATGTGCAGGCAATTTGAGGAAGTATAGATATAATAAGAGTGCATAAATTTGCCTGCCCTTTACTGTTTTCACACCCTTCAGGAACCCAAAGCCCCTGATCATGTCTGACATTCCACCTGGAAACCAAGGTAGGGCATGAATCATTGTACGATGTTGATGTTTTGATTTTATAGGTGGAAGTTACTGTTGGATGTTTCATTCATGAATCATGTAATGATTGCTAAATCTTTAATATATGGGGAATATTTGGGATGATTTTCAGTTTTGTCACTATGGTGAACGTTGATAATGATTTCTTGTATAAAAATTGATGCCTCAGAGGAAGAAAAATACAGAAGGGGGTCATTCAAGAAAACAGTCTCTACTAGGTTCAGGAATTCAAGGAAAAGGAGGAGCAGTAAAGTACTATCTGTTGAAATCAATGACGAGCGGGACCCGGAGGAGCAGCAGTCCGTCGAGGCCTTGCGTCAGGCTCTTATAGCGGAGGACCTGCTGCCTGAAAGCCACGAAGATTATCACACCATGCTCAGGCGAGTTTCCATCCTGTTTCATCATTGGTGTTGTAGTATGTCACTGTATTGAAATGAACACCATGTTAAGGCAACCAGCCTACCACAAATGCTGTTGCTGCTGTTTTGGATTTTGGATTTGTCTTAAACTCTAAATGTACCCCTCTGAAAATGCAGGTTCTTGAAGGCCAGAAGATTCGACCTCGAGAAAACAAAGCAAATGTGGACCGATATGCTCAGCTGGAGGAAGGAATTCGGTACCGATACAATTCTAGAGGTATTCTTAAAATGAGCTCTACACAACATATAATTCTGCTATTTGTTTATGTATCCTCTCAAATATTGTCTTTTGAAAGTTGCCCCTCAAAATGACTTTCTGGCTTAGTTTCATTCCATTTTCTGCTATTTGTTTAAGGACTTTGATTTCAAGGAGAGAGAGGAGGTCTTGAAATATTATCCCCAAGGGTACCATGGAGTAGATATGGACGGACGACCAGTGTATATAGAGAGAATAGGCCTAGTCGATGCAACCAAGCTCCTGCAAGTCACCACCATGGATCGCTATCTGAAATACCATGTGAGGGAGTTTGAGAAGACCTTCCAATTTAAATTTCCATCTTGCACTATTGCTGCCAAGAAGCACATTGACCAAAGCACAACCATCTTGGACGTTAATGGAGTGGTAAGGGGAACAAAGAACTATACAGGAGTTTGATCAAAGTTTCCAGTAATCACTTTAAGAAGGCTTCAAAAGCACTATTTCTAATCATCCTAATCTTATTTTCAAAATTACAACTCATGTATTCGGACAATATAATAAGTCACTCATGAGAGTGTCCTCGGGCTTAATGACACAGGGTCTTAAAAGCTTCACCAAAGCTGCTAGGGAGCTCATTACTCTTCTTCAGAAGGTTGATGGTGACAATTACCCTGAGGTACCGGTTTTCTTTTAGCTGAGTGTTTGTTTTGGTTGAGACTTTTAACTGTACATGATGGATTTGCGATGTGCAAAATTTTGTCTTTCTTGCAGACTTTGAACCGAATGTTCATCATTAATGCTGGTTCTGGATTTAGAATGTTATGGAACACTGTTAAGTCTTTCCTCGATCCAAAGACCACAGCCAAGATCAATGTAAGCTTCCACTTCCTCTCACTGAATTTGCTTGTTTTGCCAATAGAATCTAATATGTATAATCTATTATGTACCAGGTTCTTGGTAACAAATTTCAGAGCAAGTTGCTTGAAATAATTGATGCTAAGTAAGTCCAATCCTTGCTTAGAATGTAGAAGACCAAAACAATATCCACTGTTCTGAACATTTTCCTGCTGTTGCTTTTTTTTTTTTTTTACTTATATGTCATTTCCTGTTGCCGCTCCCCATCAGCGAGTTGCCAGACTTTTTGGGAGGTACCTGCACTTGTGCTGATCACGGAGGCTGCATGTTCTCCGATAAGGGCCCATGGAAGGATCCAGAGATTTTGAAGGTTGATCACTACCATCTTTTTTATTCTCAGTTGCAGTCATAATGATTCTCTTCTAAAGTTTGTTCCCCGGAGTGTAAATAATTCTTTGACTTGCAGATGATTGAAAATGGTCAACACAAACCCGGGAAGAAATCTCAGGCTCAAAGCAGTGAAGAGAAAACAACTGTAGAGGATGAGCCTGCAGTCCCAAAGGTTCGACTTGCTTTATCAGCTAGGACCTGCATCTTCCTCTTTTTTCATTATATATTCAATCTGCCCCTAAATTATTAAGATCTTGTGTGTTTATCGTCTATTCTGAGTAGTTTTTGGTTTACGCAGGCTAGTGAGTCCTTGGAAGCTGAGGTTGTTCCAGATACAGAAAAGAAACCACCTGTAGAGCCAGCAGCTCCTGTTAATGGCAATGTAAGTTAGTAGCAGCCTTCTTGCACAATATTGTCTATAATTAAAGATTTCAGGCTTTGAGTTATCATCTAGTGGTACCAACATAGACCATGAAGGTGATCCAACTTGTAAAATATGTGCATACCTTTGTGGACGTGATGTCCAATACTGACAAAGTACTCGAATTTGTAGCAATCTTGAGCACTAAATTTATTTTCTTCTTCCTTATGGAAATTTGTTTTGTTGTGGATTTCCCCTTCCATTTTTCTTTTGATAAATAAATCTCATAGGTCGAAACGATCAAAACTGAGGAAGTTGCCCCGGGGGTTGATAAAACTGTGGATTTGCCAGTGCAGAATGAAAATGCTGCTATTGTACAGAAAGGTACATGCTTACTTTTAGCCTGTTACATCTAATATTCACACATACGCACATAATGCGGCTTAAATGTAGATGTTTTCTCCTAATGTTACTGATTATTCATATCGATGTGTCTATACTTCATTATAACAGGTAATGAATTGGCTATTGTTCCAAGGGTAGAATCTAGGAAAGAAGCTTGCATGATTTCTGATGGGCTTAGCTCTCATTTTTTCACCGGTGTCATGACCTTTGTTATGGGCATCGGCGCAATGATAAAAGTGACACGAAACATGCCCAGGAAACCCACTGATAAAAACAGCTACAAGAGTCAAGTTGAGTGTGTAGGCATAGAGGCTAATAGCCAGCACCCTTCATCCCAGGTGCCCCCACCAGGAGCCCTCTCCACTGAAGAATTGATGTCGGTCATGAAACGTATGGAGGAATTGGAAGAAAGATTAAGTGTTATTAACACGAAACCTACAGCACTGCCCCCTGATAAGGAGGAATTGTTGAATACTGCACTAATCCGAGCCGATGCCTTGGAGCAAGAGCTTATGGCAACCAAGAAGGTAAACATTGTTGCTTACAAAACCTTGTATGGAACATGTAATTCACCAGATTAACACAAACTATAATAGTTCCAAGTCAATCCTAATCAAATATAAGTTTACACATGTAGAAAGAACATGCAGCATTGCACTTAAAAGTGATTGCCAATGCCCTTGGTTTTTCTTTCTCAGGCTCTAGAAGACTCGTCTGCTCAACAACAGGAACTCGCAGCATACCTGGACAAAAAGAAGAGAAAGAAGAAGAAAACCTTGGTAAGCTAAACAGACTTTGGTATTTTCCATTCATTTTTTTTCCTTCTTTGGTTTGCTTATGAACAGTATAATTGACATGAAGTAGAACTTGATTTGCTGGTATCCCAGTTCTGGTAATCACTGAAAAGCTGGATGCGGACAAGATTACTTCAGAAACTGGTGATGGGGCGATTCGGTTTCATAAGGCCGCCCCCCAAATGCACTCTAGCCTTCGTTCATTCAACTCATCAGATGAAAATGTAAAGTTTGGTGCATGTTTACATTAGTTTAAATCTGCTTGTGCTGATGAATGTACATCTAACTTGTTGGCAGTCACATTTCAACTGTGTATTCTTTGTATTTTTGTTCTCTTTATCTTCCCTGTTTAAATCTTTCATCATATATTAATGTTTGCAGTTTGGAACCATTGAGAATCTTCCATGCATGTTTTAGGCACTTAACTTTCTATGTTAAAAACGTTGTCACTTTAATGCACTTGCCTACATTTCCTTGGAATATCTTTCATGTTGATCAACGTTCATTTCATAATAATCTTCTATTATTCCCCACCCACAGAATCAAATCAAATACAGCAACGTTGTTAAAAACAAACCACCAATGTCGGATTACATGGAATTAATGGATCATAAGGAACTTCCAACCTTCAGCTGTTCTAAAAACAAAGATGAATTTCCTGAATTATATTTAGACTTTGAAGTAATCATTGCAAAAAGGTTGGCTTAGGGAATCTTTAAATATAAAAATTGTCAAGGGACCAGCTCCTTTAAAATTGATAATATTATTAGTTTAATTAATATAGTTTTTATTGTAATATTTAAGGTAGACGGTCACTGTGTCTTCAATTTTTCATCCCCAACTATGGTTGTAATTTTCATTAAAGTTCAGTGATGAAAAGCTTGAAGATGCTAGATACTCTGTTCGTTTCTAAAAACAATGTAAATTTCACCCCGCTTCAAAAAATATTTTTTCCTCACCTTTATTTCAGTCATTTCTTTTTTCCAAGGCTGTCTCTTACTGATAGTAATTTAATAGTTGAGTGACCTAATTGAAAAACGTTTCAGTTTAGTGGTTAAAATATAATTTACGACATAGTTTATTGACTATATAGGTACTTTACCCTTAAATTTAAGCACTTAACAAATAGTAACTTAAGCTTAACTGAACACTCGAGGAGCCCTAAGGAGGTGGAAAATGTTTTTTTTTATAAAAAGTAAGGTCTCGTTAAAAATCCCCTTCATAACCTTCAAGCAACAAAGACTCAACGGACATTGGAAGGAGGAAAAGAGTGCGTTAGAAATTTTATTGCATAAAATCAAGTACAATAAGATCATACTACCACCCAAAAACGATGGCAGCCCACTCAACCCATTGCAAAACAGCAGTACCTACATGAATATGTTTATACCCTACAACAAAACCAACTCATATGATGATCAACCATTACAAACAAAAAATCATTCCTAATGTTCCCAAAATACCAAAAATAGAAAAACAACAACCAAATTAATTCTCCATCATTTAACCAATCCCTTGTTTGGCAAGTTTATCCGCTTCACAATTTGCTACTATGGGTACATGACGGACAATGACCCATTTATTGACCATTATGTTTGCAATGTATTTAAGAATGGATAGAAACATCGGAGTGGAGATAACTGGATTTTTTATCCATTCCATGCCACTGCACTATCAGACTCCAAAATAATCCTTTGATTAACCGACAAATCCGAATCTAAGAACAGATTCAAACCTCTATTCATTGTCATCAATTCTGCCATAATAGGACGACCGAATCCACATCACTCCTTTCCCGTCTCTTAAAAGTCCACCAATTCCTCCCTTCGACCACCACCTGTCCATAGCACCATCTACATTCAATTTAACAAAACCCGTAGGTGGAGGAGACCAACTGACTACCTTTTGCGATATCTTTTCGTCGAACATAACACGATCAGCTAGCGGTAGATCCCCCACAAGACTATCAAAAGAGATCATCAATTTGGGAAATTTTGAAGAAAACCATGATGCCACTGTATACCTTGACAGAAAAGATAACAAAGTGAAATCTAATTTCCCATTATTAAAAATAATATCATTCCTCATTTTCCAATTTGACCACAAAACCGCTCTTGGGATGAAGGTCCAAACACATGAACGTGGTACAAGATCAAACCAAACTGAAAATAAGGCCACAGGGCACTCTGTAATTGCAAAGGAAACCTCCCACCGGCGCAAGAAGCTAGTCCATAACTCCCAAGACACTTTACAAGAAAAGAATAGATGAGAAACCGTTTCTTGAACCAACCCACAGAATGGATAATACGGATTTTCTATAACTTGCACCCCACATTTTATTAACTCTACCTTGACCGCAACCTTCTTGTGCACCACTTGCCAAATAAAATATTCAACTCTAGGAGGAGCTATACCAGCCCAGACAGTTATTTTCCAATGAAAACTATCGAAAGAGTTTCCAAAAAAAAATTCAAGATATGATTTCACTGAAAACCTCCCATCTCCTTCTCCCACCCATACAAGAGTATCATCCATCGATGATGAAGGATTTAAATTATAAACAATGCCATAAGCTCGTTCCATTGCATCAACTCCCAATCGGCAAGATTTCTCCTCATGGCAATATCCCAGAAACAGCCTGATGAATTATTTTTCCTGAAATTGGCTATCTTCCCCTCCTTATTGATTAATAATGCAAACAATCGAGGAAACATACCCTCAAAGAAACTCCATCCAACCAAGTGTCATGCCAGAACCTTATTGACACCTCATTGCCCGCCTTCAGCAGAAAGTTACTTCACAAACATTCCCCAAACTCGTCATCAGAGCAAGAATTCTTCACAACCCTTTTCCATATCCAAGAAGCTTTGTAAGAGGCTGAACTATCTACCCCCATATTATTCGGATTAATATTGTTTTTGCAACAAATTATCCTTTTCCACCAGGAGTTTTTATCGTTAGCAAACTTCCAGGTCCATTTTCCTAATAAAGATCTATTCATAAGATCAAGATTTGGAACCCCAATCCCTCCCAACTCTTTAGGCTTGCAGGCAATTTCCTAATTAACCCAATAAATTTTTTTTAATACTCAAATTCCCCCAAAGAAAATTTGCCATAATTAGGTTGAGCCTCTTCAAAACACATCTTGGTAATCTAAAAATCGACATGAAGTATATTGGCAAGGAGCAAAGAACCGACTTAATCAACACCACTCTACCAGCGATGGATAGTGAGGCAGACTTCCAAGCGGATATTTTTTGTAAAACTTTTGAATTATCGAATCCCATAGAGTAACTGAGTTTTTCTTTGGCCCAAGCGGAAGACCCAAGTATTATGTTGGAAAAGAACCCACTGTACACCCTATTGCTGCAGCCCACTCTGAAATAACCATCATTCACGTTGATTTCGAATAACATGTTCTTTAAAAGATTAATCTTCAATCCTGACATCAATTCAAAAATCAGAAGCACTCTTCTCACATTTTTCAGTTCCCTAATAGACGCATTACAAAAAATTAACAAATCATCAGCGAATTGAAGATGAGATAGCTGAAAAGAATCTCTCGGACTCCCAATCTCAAAACCTTTAAACAAACCTAACCTCATAGATTTTGACAACATCAAGCTCAACAGTTCAACAACCAAATTGAAAAGGAGCGGGGAAAGAGAACAACCCTGACGAAGACCCTCATAATCTGAAATTCAACAGAAGGAGAACCATTCACCAACACCGAAATGGAAGCCGTAGAAACACACATTTTCATCCAAGATCTCTATCTCTGACCAAACCCCATGCAATCCAGTAATTTCAGTAGCAAATTCCAATCGATTGAGTCATATGTTCTTCTGAAGTCAACCTTAAACGCTACTCCTTGAAGACATTTCCTCCTCAAATAGTCAATTCCCTCATTCGCGATAAAGGAACAATCTGTGATTTACCGACCCGGAATAAAAGCAAATTGGGAAGGGCCAACTACTGCATCCATACATTGTCTTAACCTTCTGGATAACACTTTTGAAAAAATCTTGTATAGTCCACCCACCAGACTTATTGGCATAAAATCCCTGATGGTTCCCGAATTCAATTTTTTCGGGATTAAGGTAACGAAAGAATGATTTACCCCTTTATCCCAACTTTTCCCGACAAAGAAATCACAAAACAACTTCATTATGTTCTCTTTTAATTCATTCCAAAACTTTTTGAAGGATCTCATTGTCAATTCGTCTGGTCCAGGTGCCTTGTTTCTATCAGACGATGAAATTACATCCCAAACTTCTTCCACTGAGAATGGTCTCTCTAAAAACGAAATATGATCCGCTGAAATCCTGGAGAAATTAAACTCCATCGCCTTCACTTCCACTATAGGGTGTTTATTGAACGCTTCTTTGAAATAAGTAACCACGCTCGCTTTAATCTCATCAAGATTCATCGTCAAATGTCCCCCCCACTTTCAGCACTTTAATAACATTTACCCTTCTCTGTTTGCTGCACACATATGGAAAAATCTAGTGTTGCGATCACCCTCCAAGCACCACTTGACACGTGATTTCTGTAACCACACTACCTCTTCTTTTTTATATAGATCCCAAAGCTTCCTTCTAGCCGGAACCAAAGATTCCATGGAGATAGAAGTGGAACCTTGTTGCATTTGCAGCTCCGATTCATGAATTAATTTTTCCAACTCCACAATTGATCGTTGCATACTGTTGAAACTGACTTTAGACCATTCCTTCATTGTCGGTTTGGTGCTTTTAAGAATACTGTAAATTCCTTTTCTTCTACTACTCAACCTTGCTCTCTGGAATTCCTCGACCATTCTATCCTTGAGACCATCTTCATCCAACACATAATTGAACAATATGAAAGGTTTCAGCCCCCAATCCTAGGCCTTACTTTCCAAGCTAATTGCATTATGGTCCGATAACAATCTCATGAGCAAAATCTGATTCACAAATGGCAACACCAACAATAAATTAAAATCCACTAAAAACTTG